AATGGTTTTTCCCACAGTGCTGGCACTGTCTCACTTGACTCGGAGTAGATCTCCCAGCACCAGATCCAACTGACTGCGTCTGTCTAGGTCTTGCCTGACTTGCTCCCCTAGCAGACGATGCAACTGATTCTGATCTAGCTTGTGATCGAAATCCCGAGTTTCTTCCCCTTTTTGATGGTACTGAGCTAGAAGAAGCACCCGTTCTCTTTGATGTTGAACTCTAAAATCCCCGAATCTCTCATTCTGAGCTCTTTCAAGAGCCTTGGCGCGATTGATTTCCTCTTGGAACGAGGACAAATTCAACACTATCAGCATCTCTTTCAATCTAGGACGTAAGCCCTCCACGAACCATTCGCAAGCCTCTTTTTCGGTAGGCACAAGCTCGGATGCAAACCTACTCAGCTTGTTGAACTCACATTCATACTCATATACAGAGCGGTTCATCTGTTTCAAATTCAAAAACTCCTGCTTCATTTGTCGAATGAATTGTTCTCCTATGTACTTGTTTTTGAATTCATCTAAGAACAAAGACCAAGTCAACTGGTCACTGGGCATCCTTATGGTGACATTCGTCCACCATATCCTCGCCTGACCCCTCAATAAAGATACAGCTCCATCTAACTTCTCCACTTCAGAACAGTGGAGACAATCTAACATGATTTTCAAATCATTCAACCAAAGATCCGCTGACACTGGACCTTCCTCAGCTTCTCCCTTAAATTCAGGAGCTCCTAAGCCTCTCAACTCTTTTGCTACATTTATTCTTTGAGTTGTGGAGCAGAAGGTTGAAGACGCGTCAGAATAGCATCTAACGTTCTGAAGAACGTATCTTGATCTTGCACAGGCACTCCTTGAGATGCCTGTTCTTCACCTTGCCTGGCCAGGGCAGGTGAATTACTGCTTTCAGCATGCCTATCTTCTCCCGCTTCACTTCGGGAGCTATTATGTCCGGACATCTAATAAGAATAAACACATTGTTCTATTAGCAAAACATCATACTCATACTATACCAGATCAGAAGTTCTCACTATTTGTTGGCATGTATTCCATTTAAAGACTCTATAGACTCTGATTTATGCCTAGAATCGGCTAAACCATAGCTCTGATACCATTAAATGTAACACCCTCAACCCGTATACCAACCTGGATACGAGTCAGAGATATTACATTGACTTTTAAAACACAACACATTACAAATAAAAGTAAAATACTTGAACTTATATTACGAAAATACAATAATATACATATGGTACTATAAGTTTACCAAAATATTCAGAGCATACACAACTTAACTTTTTAATTACATGCCAACATCCATTTTCTTAACAAAATGACCTACTGATTAAGTTGCTTCTGATCTGATAGTTGCAGGAGTAATGTTGTCCAGCTGCTTAACCTCGATCGTCTACTTTATCGGATCCTACGTGTGAAACACTCACACGCTAAGTCATCGACTTAGTGAGGCAATAATATAATAATAATATCAATAAACATAAAGTAATTGCCAAAATGAGATGGGTTGCAATAATAAGATGTATGTAAACAATGCAATAACCAAAACCATGTTTCTTACATATATACTTATCAAATTCACATTCATAAGTTCGCCTTAGTAAGTTCATTAGCCCATGGTACCATACAGAGAACCTAAGGTATGTGAGTATTGTGAGGTTGTGCACTATGCTGTCACCACAGCTCATATAATTGCACCTTAGTGCCACGTAGAATTGCACCGGAGTGCCGCGTAGAATTGCACCGTAGTGCCATATAATAATGTCCATAAGGACCACATATCATTCCTTAAGAATCATATACATATACCAAGGATCAAGTATGTGTCTCACCAGACCTCACACATGTTCCAAAGAATACATATATGTCCCGAATGACCACATATCATTCCTTAAGAATCATATACATATACCAAGGATCAAGTATGTGTCTCACCAGACCTCACACATGTTCCAAAGAATACATATATATCCCGAAGGACCACATAGACCCTCTATCATTGGCATGCCAACTATACCTATAGTTCTCATTTACATAACATGGGCTTTCACAATTTATCTAACTCATATCACGTAGACATATTATTTCCATACCTTTATCATATAACTCATATAACTTTTCTTTCATATTCATGTCCCATAATGCATATGGTATGGATTCATGTCATATATCATCATATGAACTATGATCATGTATCAAAATATTGAATCTAGACTTATCACAAGTCTAGAACTGAATAAAATACATATTCATGCTATGCATATGCACTCACCTAGACTTCTTTGTCTTTCCCTCGATTGATCCTACTTGTCGATGGTTCCGGAACTCGATTAGGCTCAATATCTACATAAGCATAATTTTCAAGATGATTATCAGATGCCTAAGTCTTGAAATTAATCTTTAATAGCCTACCAATTTAAGGGATTAATAGTTTAGTCTTTCTTCTTCTTCTTTTTTATATGGGGGAATCGGTTCCCCCCTGGGGGTATCGATTCCCCTCTAGCATTCTGGAAATTCATATTCGTTGAGGGGATATCGATTCCCCTTGAATGGGTACCGATTCCCCTAGCCTAGAAATCTTATTTTGAGCTCGAAAATCATCTCATTTCAGCTCAAACCTTCATATTTTACTCCCTTTAATACTCTTAACTTTCATACACTTACTTAAACTAATTATTATCCATTCAATACCTCTAAAACTAAAAAAAACTAATCCTCCATATAGAATTTAAGAATCTTACTCAAATTCCAACTTGTTCTAATTTTAATTATATCACCTCATACTTCTTAATTAGCTTGATGACAAGTCAAATCCAGCTTCTAATTCTTATTATGACCTTTAATCTAAGATTTCATTCAATGGCTCCCAACCTTTAATCTCCCTTAACTTACAATTCTTTGAGTTCTAGGATCCTTGTTTCTCTCCATCATATTTCCTAAATCTTCATTAACCAAACCCATGCTTAACTCATAAGAATTAATCCAAAAGAAGACAACTCACCTTTGCTTGCAAGCTTCATGGTTGGAGAAGAAGAAGAAGAAGAGAAATGTCTGGAACCTTGTTTATCTCAAATGCTTTCCACGTGATTTATAAAATCACCTTAAGGAATATTAATTATTACTCTTACTAAAATACTCTTTTGCCCTCTTAATTTTCCTTCTTTATAATTCAATCCTACACCAAATAACTCAAAGGTCATTGAACTCTTCCATCATTTTACTTAAATCACCAAATGCTGAAACTTTACAAATTAATCACTAACCCGGCATGGAGGATGTTACAGATTCCCCCTAACCCAGAAATCATTTTCAGCACGAAAATTACTTCATTTCCTCTCAAACATTTCATATATCATCCCCTTTATTATTCTTAACTTACATATACATGCTTAAACTCATTATTACTCATTCAATACATCTTTAACTTCAAAATCTAATTCTCTACATAGAATTCAAGAATCACACTAATTTTTCTTCTTGTTCTAAATTCAATTCCATCACTTCATATCTCTTAATTCAACCATTGACAAGTCAAATTTATCTTCCAATTTGAGTAAAGAACTCTATTCCAGAATTTCATTCAAAAACTCGTAATCTTTAATCTCTCCTAATTCCACCATCCTTTGCTTTTAAGATGATTTAAGCTTTCCTAAAGCTTAATTATCATCCAATAATCATAACCAAATCCTAAATTCAGCTAAATATCAACTAACAAGAGATCTTACCTTTGCTTATGGCTTCACGGTGGAAAAGGAGAGAACAAAGAAGAAAAGTCTGAAACTCTCTCATATTTTTCCACGTTTTATAATACTCAAAAAGGGAAGATAAAAATCTTTCCCAAGAAAAGATCATTTTGCCCCTTTAGTTCATCCATCATTGTTATTTAATCCAATATTAAAATTCTTACTTAACTCCCGAGACTTTTAATTTATTTCTAAATTGATCACAAAACTTTCAAAATTTGCAATTAGTCACTAACCCTGACTTGGGATGTTACAGCTTCCGTGACTCAAAAGATGAAAGATTTGATACAACAACACAGTTATGCTCCAAGCTGACTTCAAGGCTCTGATCGCTGACATTCGATGTGCTGACAACTTTGTCCAGAACCTGAACTGTACACTTGTCCTTCGTGATAGAACGGTCAGCACTGTCGATTGATGAATAAGAGCACTTGGCCGACGTTGATGAGGTTCCACGCATTCGATAAAACCAGATCAATAGAAGAAGCTAAAGGGAACTCTGCAATTTTGTCAATTCGTGGGGCATTGACACAGATATCTGGGGAGTTCTTTCTGGGAAGCGAACCAACATTGCCTCTAGAAGGGGCTGCAGTCCTTGTGGCAGTGGAAGAGATACTCTGCGCGATGAGTAGGATGATTTACTTGATGACGTTTGTGATACTGGAACCTGCACATATTAACAGGCTAAGTACGCAAATACACTTGTAAATTAATTGAAAGATTATATTTCTCAGTTCCCAGAAATTTTCCATATCCAACACACAGGGAAACGGCCAGGATTGTCAACTTGTACAAATTCACCATTGCTCAGTTTCCAAAACTCTTACTAGATTTTAAGCAGTCATAATCAAGAAAATCCTACCACAACCAAAAAAATAATGCTGTAGTTCAAGGATTTATGGACAAATATGTAACTTACCAAATCATGTTTTTGACCAATCTTAGATATCATTGCTGTTGTTACGTGCTTCCTAGGAGTTACGGACACTTCCGCTGTCAACAGTACGAAACTTTGTTGTTGTTGACCAGTCCATCGCAATCTCTTCATTGTCAATAGCAGGAGAAAATCCTGTGAACTTTTTGTACAAATAACTGGGAATTTCTTGCTCTCTTTGAATAAAACGTAAGGAGTCATGTTCGGTTTCAGATACGCTAGGGTTCAAGGCTCTGTCATTGCTGAATGACCGCCTTCTGCCTATGTCACCAAGACCCACACTATCTTGCTCCATTAATCTATTTTTCTTCATGAAGCTGTTGCACCTAGGGCCATTCAAGAGGTCCTTTAGTTTAGAGAAAAAAGTAATTTAAGGGCATAAATTAGGCACGACTATATTTGAATCGAGAAAGCTATGTACCTCAAAAGGATGTCCGACATAAATAACATGTTGCATGCATTCTTTTCTTTTTTCGAAATTTGAACTCTGAGTTCTAAATTGTTAGGCCACAAGTACAAATCTTCAAGAGAACACTAAATGTTCTTCAAAGATATTGTTGATTCAAGCAAGATTTTTAAATTTCTTTACTCGCAAGTGACAAAGCAATTGCTCAGTATCGCTAGCTACTTGAAAGAAATATCTGTCAAGCCTAATCTCCATTATTTATAACTTGACCTACTGCCAAAAGAAAAATACAAGTATTAATAAGTCCAAGCACTACCCATTCTTTTAAAACTGTATGAAACCCGCACGATATGTCTGATACTCACAGATGAAGCAAGATCATCAGAGGTCAACATTTTAGCAAGACCAATATCGCCTGCATTGGCGAACGTCTTAGTTGATACTCACTAATTTTAAAGTACAGACTTACAGAGCGATAGAGACAGAAGTGCATTTTAACTTAAATAATAATCGTTATTAACTATTTGAAGTAATTAATGTCATTATAGAAGAAAATAAGTCAAAATAAAATGCCTAAATCTCAAATTTGAGAGTGATAAAAGGACTGATATCATAATTTAACCATAATAAATAATGACTAGGTAGCTTTACTAAAAAGAAAAGATCATTGTAAGTCAAATGATGTTTTTGTTAAACAAATATAAATTTGCATTTTTTTTGTTGGAAAAAGTACAGTCACGTAGAGTTAGGGTAAGATACTAAAATGGTAAAAAGGTGACATATTCTGCATTTTTATATAGGGTAAATTAAGCGTTTAATATCTTGTTGGCACTTCAATGCCGGATGCAAAACGGCAATGTCCAACGTTATCATGGCCGTTGTGGTCATGTTCACGTTTCTGTTCCTAGCACCGTTGTTCTACTACACTCCCCTCGTGGTGTTGTCGGCGATCATAGTTTCCGCAATGCTTGGCCTCGTCGACTATGATGCCGCTGTTCATCTTTGGAACGTCGATAAATTCGATTTCCCCGTGTGTATGGTCGCGTATGTTGGCGTCGTTTTCTCGAGCGTCGAGGTTGGCTTAGTCGTAGCGGTATGATCACATAAATATCAACCAAGCACGGCTTAAATAACATTGTTCTTTTCATCCTCACCCCAACGAATGTTTTTTTCTTATATGAAAATGCAGGTTGTGATTTCTGTGCTGAGATTGCTGCTGTTTGTTGCAAGGCCGAAGACATTACGGAACCAGAACTAAATATTGACAGGGCTAAAATGTTGGATTATTCTTTCATGAGTTCGAGCACTGTTAATGTAGGGGTATGAGCATTCATTATTAAATAGTTGAGTTTTTGTACATATATTACTTTGTATTCATGCTAGATTTATAAAAAAAAAACTCAAAATTCATAAGATAACACTTAATTTGTGTAATATTAAAACTTACAATGACCTAAATTATTATTAGATCAAAACTTTCGAGAACATGGGGTTATCCTTCTTTAGTTCGGTCCTACTTGATTAAATATTTAATAAAATTTTATATTTTTTAATTTAAATATTTATTTTTACATGAACCAAAATATTATTAGAACAAAATTATATAAAATATACAAATTTAACAGGCTGGAGCTCCTTTGGGCCTCACTATGCTCCGCCCCTACTGGGAAACTTTCCGAATTCGACGATCTATAGAAACGTCGAGCAATATCTGAATACAAACAATGTTCATGGTGTTCTCGTACTCAAGATCGATGCTCCAATTTACTTTGCCAACTCAAGTTACTTAAGAGAAAGGTACTAGAATTTCATTGCTCAATTATCAGACTAACTACATAGGATCCGATCGAATTGAACTCATGTCTGATCTTATCAGGATAATACGATGGATCGATGACGAAGAAGACAAGCTCAAATCAACAGGGAAAACCAGCTTACATTATGTCATACTCGATATGGCCGGTGAGTGATGACTACAGCAACAGTCAATTTAATTACAGTTCCGACAAGGATTACATCTTTTTGTTTCACAGCTGTTGGTAACATTGACACCAGTGGAATAAGCATGCTTGAAGAGGTCAAGCAAACTACTGACAGAAGGGAGATTAAGGTATTTTTTCCGTACAATACTACTTTGAATGTATTCTATCACTGGAAAACATATTCTGATTTTCGTGTGTGTGTGTGTGTGTCTATATATATATATATATATATATATATATATATATATTGTTTTAGATAGTATGGCCAACCCTGGAGCCGAAGTGATGAATAAGCTCAACAAGTCCAAGTTCCTGGAAAAAATAGGTCAAGAATGGGTATATTTGACAGTAGGAGAAGCTGTTGAAGCCTGCAATTACAAACTTCATACGTGCAAACCAGCAGAATCGCAGCCATGGAACAATGTCTAAGTTAACTGGTAATCTTTATGCAACCGAGCGTTTAGGCATTGCTGAATCAACAGGAAATTAACCAAATTTAAAAGCTTAGATGCAGTAGGCTATTTCTTCCTCTTTTTAACAATTTGCAAATTGTACGATGAAATTTGTCGTAGCAATGAGATTTTCAGCAAGAAATGAGTATTTCAAGTTGGTCAAAGAAAAATCTTTATAGCATTATAAGGATAAATTCTAAGGATAATCCCTGTACTTATCGGTTTGTGCAGATAAATACTTAAACCAGCTGTAGACAGAATGCAGAGAAATATGACTATGAAAGATCAAGCAATGCGAAAAAACAGTTATGTGAGCTAGAATAAAATAATTTCCATTAAGATCCATATTTAGGCCAAGTTAAACCTATAGAGAAGGGAAGTTTTAGGCTACAAAAGTACACTTTGTTACCATTCGATTTCGATGGTGCCTGAAATATACGGCTGGATCTCTAAACTACAGAAGAAGATAACCTCTAAAAGGAAATAAATATGTGAAGGGCAGATCTATAGACAGTGCAACTAAATTCTCAGTACTGAAAACTACACTGATTGGTCATTGCCTCAATCTCCTTTCGTTGGGGGTTCTGCGCATGCGCAAAAGGGTGTTTTCTTCTTCTTCTGGTTCTGGTTCTTTCTTATACCACCATAAAGATAGTCCCGTAATAAAACTCTTGTTTTACGCTCCATGATTCTGGTTGGTCCTTTGCTTTCTTTTGCATCAAGTTTCAGTAAGAGAAACTGGATTTTCTGCACCTCTAGTTGCAACCGAGCTATCTTCTCGGACCCTCTTCGAGCTTGTTCTGCTACTCTTTGTCTCTTAAAAGAACTACTCTCATCTGATCCTAATGCAGGCTTCCCATCAAGGGACCGAGAACGATCTTCAATGTGTGTCACCAGTTTGTGATTGATGTCGAATAGCTGAATGATGGTGTCCTCAGATTCTTCTAGCTGCTGTTTAACTGTACCAGATTCAATTCCTTTCCCCTTTTTTCCTGTCTCAGTTATCTCCACCTTCCTCTTAAGATCCTGCACGGTTATTTGAAGGTTAGCCAACTTTTGCGCGTCAGATTCAAGTCTTTCTAAAATCTTCCTCTTGCTTCCTTCTTGGTAAGGCTCTGTAAATCTCTTAGAGCTCTCTTTATCAACACCCAACTCCTTCACGAGTGATTCTGTAGAGAGATTTTTGCTCCTACGCGCCTTTGCTGTACCAATCCGTTGATTGCCAGTTGAAGTGGCGACCATCTTCTGAGACTTGCCAACTTTCAAGGCGATGTTACCATCACGGTCAGTGGTTTCCCACAACTCATGCATCTGATTATCAAGCTCTGTAGTTTCTCTCCTGCTTAACCCATAGGATGAGCACTCGGATGTTTGATCAAGCAGAATGTCTTTCATCATCATTTCACTGTCCTCAGAAATTTCAGATGCTGGTCTCTGAACTTTGACATTGTTACCAAATCCAAGGCCAAGTTTCCCCCCGTCTTGTCTAGCATTCACGTGCTTCTTTGCTCTAACTCGTTCTCGACGTGAGCTGCTTCCAAATCTTAACTCTTCAATCTGTCTCATGGCAGTCTCTAGTTTGGAATTGAGGGTTAAGTTTTCAATTGACGCATGCTTTTGCATTTCCACCACTGCACTTTCAATAGATTTAACTCTCTTATGGATACCCTGCAAGTCGGGAAAACCATCTTCAACTGATGCAATTTGGCCTTCACCTGTTTGTTGATAATTTCCAGTTTGCAATTCAGTCGCCAAATCGGCATCCTTGAAAACAAGAGAACTGTCAGTCAAAGAATCACACCTGATAATCATCCAATATCCATTGCGTTGTCAACATACATGGATCTTAAGGTCATAGAAACAATTGAGCTGGCATTAATTCAACAAAAATAATAAAATATATTTCTCATTTAAACAATAATTTGTGCAGAAGATCAGGCTAGTAAATGTATATGGGTGCAAACTCGGGAACCGGATGCAGCAATATCAACTGCTTGTGTAAATAAACCACAAGATGCTCATACAAGTCAAAGATATATGTGGTTGGGTTAGAACAGAAGTTTTATATTCAACCAAATAGTATGAAGGCCGCATTGATTTGTTTTATCAAAATTTAAAATCCAGCCATTAAGCCACTTGTAAGCAAACGAATAGACATTACCATTAATCCATCGTTACAATCTGCACGAAATTTAGGAGACAAGTGAGTTCGACTCCCCAATGATGTCACACTGTCCATGAGAGAAACAACAGCTGGAACATATGCTGCCAACTGAACTTTAAATTCTTCATTCTCACGTTTCAATATTCTAGCACTTCTTTCCAGCTCTTCTGCCTCCATAGCTTTGGAGTCACACTCCTCAATAAGTTCATGAGCCGTCTCTTCAAGCAATGCTGCATGTACAGTAGAAATCTGTAGCTCACCAGACAATGCGGCAGCTTTACTTTCCCAAAGTTCAACCTCATTTCTTCTCTTTTGTAGTTCAACACTCAAACTGTCCTCCCTACATTTCCTTTCTTCAAGTTCCCCATTAAATTTGGCCAATTCAACCTCAAGTTTCTGATTAGCCTGACGAATGCTTTCAGTTTCCTTACTTTGATGGTCATAATCTCTGGATAGTTTCCGAATTTGCTTCTTTTGATCTTCAACCATCAGTATGACCTCCTCATATTTAGTTGTAAGATCCTCTACAAATTCCTCCAATTGGGCTCTCTCCTCTTGACTTTCACTGAGAATTCGTTCTGCTTCCAAAAGCACAATCTCCTTCTGGCCCAACAGATCCTTTCCCTTCGAAACTTCATCATTTAACTGATCACCAACAGATCTAACTGACACCAGTTCATTCTCCAAGTTTCTCATTGAATCCTTGAGATGTGAGTTTTCCATTTGCATATCATCAAACTTTCTCTCCATCATTATCAGTTTTCCCTCAAGATTGTTATTGAGACATTTGAGTTTATCCAGATTGTCAGTGAGATGTTTTATTTTCTCGAAATTATCAGCAATAATATCCTTGAGAATGAGAGAAGTGTTACTTTCAGATATTGCTTCAGCAAAGACAACAGAGTTTTCCTCTTCTAGATTATGCTTCTCCTTGCCCAAGTCAACAACTTCCTTCATCAAAGACTTTTTCTCATCTACCACCCTGTGGTTATCCTCCAATGAACTCTGATATTCCCTTTGCAAGACTAACAGTTGTTCATGAACACTTCGTATTTGAGTCTGTAAAACTTCTTCTCTTTGGCCTCCCTCTATCACTTTCAATTTCAGTTCTTCATTCATATCCACAAGTTTTTCAGCTCTTTTCTGCAGCTCCGGAATCACCTCAGACCTAATGTTCAACTCCTGGTGCAGTGAATTCTTCTCTTTAGCAAGATTTTCTACCTCTAGTTTCAGTTGCCCAAGCAAAGCAATAAGAACCGAATTCTCAATTAAGAACTGCTGATTTTCATCCAGAGAGTTAGAAGTGAATTTTGCATATCCCGTAACCTTCCATATACACGGTCAAGAACTGATTGGTCTTGTTTGCTCATATCATCATAACCATGGGTAGCATCAATCTCAAGAGTCCTCGACATCTGATAAAGCCCCGTCCTTAGTATGGTAATTTGATCAAACAAGGATTTCATCTCCATCTGCTTCTTGGAATTTGCGAGCTCCAACTCAGAGCTAAGTTTCTCTGATAATATGGTGGCTTCTAAGAGTTTCCAACACTGAAGCGATAGGGATAAATTCTTTTCTTCGAGATCTTGTGCACATTTCCTCAAGATGAAATTTTCTACTTGAGCACTCATGGCCTTGTCCAGTTCCTCTTCATATTCTTTCTTCCTGCACAGGTTTTCCACTTGTAGAAAATGAATTTGTGATTCCATAGTAGTTACTCGGGTTTCATTCAACTGCACAAAGCTAGTATGCTCCGCCTTTTCAGCCTCTAGCGACTTTTGTAGCTCTTCCACTTCAAAAAATGTTGATTCTCTCTCTTTCTCCAGACTCAAATATTTTTCTTCTAATCCCTGATATCTTTTTTCTAAATCTTCGAACTTTTTCCGACTGACATCCAACTGAGAAATCAAACCGTCTGTCTGTGTTATGAGACCAGACTTTTCATCACCAAGCAACAGGCATGAATTTTCTAAGTTAGTTAATTTAACTCCGAATCCTTTGAGCTTGGCATTTGCATCAAAAAGGGAATTCTCCAGAAAGTTATTCTTCTCCGAAAGCTTCTCCAGATTCTCAGTTGCGATCTTTAACTGAGAAATAACTGTGTCCTTCTCTGCAGCGAGGGTGGATTTCTCTCCCAAAAGAGAGCGACAATATTCTTCCAAAATCTTTACCCTCCCCCGAACACTTTCTAGCTCAACATTCATATCTGAGAGTGAATTCTCAAAAAGGGTATTTTTCTCGATAAGTTTCTCCATGATTTTCAACTTCTCTAGTAGGGCTAGTTTTTCATCTCTGTCCCTTTCACAGATATCTTTCAGCTTTCTGTTCTCGTCCTGCAATTCCATCACAGATGATGCAAAGTTTTCTAGATTTAAGCCAACAAATTCCAGCTGCCCTGTCATATCACGGTATCTCTTGTTAAAGTCATTGAGTTCTTGTTTCAAACAGTAAATTTCTTGCTGAAGAGCATTTCTTTGGTCCACTCTAAGTTCAACTTCTGCTTCAAGTTTGGCTATAGTCACCCTTAAGCTTAAGATCTCTCCTTGCAAATTCTCGATGGACATAGCAGAACTTATATTGAGTTCGTTCAGGCCTTTGTTCTCATCCTTGACCCTCTGCAGTTCAGCCTCTAAACTGTGATTGCGTGTTTCAATGTCCTGTAAATTTTGAGCCCTATTCTGAAGCTCGGTGGCCAGAGATCTGAGTTCTTCCTGAGATTGAGAGTGCAAATGTTGCAAAGTGTGAAATGCAGTTTCGGCCTCCATAAATCTCAAGCGTTCTTCTTGTATGGAGGTCCAAAGTCTCCCCAATTCCTTCTGCTTCTCTGTTAGC